CTAATCTCAGTAAAATTGGAATTATAGATCCGAGTGTGTGTTGTTTCTTATGTAATACTTTGGGCTGTTTAATTATTCTCGCAATGTTTTCTTAAAGGTCACATGCAACCAAAAAATCAAACATAATTAAAACACAATTATCACTTCTTCATGACATATAATATGCATTGCTGATTATGAAAAAACAAATAAACAAAATTATAAGCGTATAATCGCAAATCAAAAGTGCAATATTTTGTACTTGGGTTTACCTCCCTCGAAACGAAGCAGCCGGGATACCGAACCCAGTCAGAGCGGGTGGGTGTGCACTCAAGTGTAACGGCTGGTTCATTAGCAGATGCCGCCTTCACGGCTCATTGTTGTGTGTATATATAGAGATGTTGGGTTGTGTAAATACATGCTCATTTTTGTGTATAACATTTTAGCAATCAACAGACATCATAATACGTCATGTGTTCAAGTATCACCCACCTGCCTGGCTGTGTAATTACATAATGAGACAGAGACCTGAACTTGGGGCCATAAATCAATGCGCTTTGTTTATGGTGTATAGCCTGATTGGTGTTAAGTTCAAATTGCATGTGGTCAGTGATCGCAGTTGTGTATTGAATATTGTCATTAGCAGACAGGCAGGCAGACACACAGGTGTCAATAAAACAAGACATTGAGTTTTGTCTGTGACAGCGTACATATCTATATCACAGTTAGAAATTCTGTATACGCCTTAAATAATGACATTGATTTTAAGCATCGAACTGAGAAAGTGACTCGCAAGAAGAACGGTGGTGAAATAGACAAATGAAATTATATAAACAGTTTATTTACTGTCATAACATATAAAAAGCTCTCGCTTCTGTGAGATATCAACAAAACATTATGAAAATAGCTCACACCAAAGCCTTTCCCCGAAAGTATTCACCAGACAGCCTGCTTCCAAGTTATGCATTAACCTATTTCACTGCGCGACGGCTATGAGCGCGCAGCCCAGCTGTTGAAAACCTCGTGATTCCCCAGAAAAGTCCGGGAAAATTAGTGAAACGCTTGAACCCGACATTCGCTCACGGGTTTTTCATCGCGCTATTTTCAACTTTATAAGTTGAATTAGCATTTTTGACGCTTTGTTTCGGTACATCCATACCGAAAGGTATCAGAATCTGCAAAGTTGTGTTTTACGTTGCATGTGACCTTTAATTAATACTTTTAGATGTTATTTTCCATTGTTATTTGTTGAAAATATGATTTGTTGATGTGTAATAAACATCCAGTTTTGTCTGATATAACTTCTTTTGTCATTTTTACACCTTGATATCAAATAATACCACATGGGAAAATGTAAGGAGTATTAAAAAAATATCAAAATAATGTATGGCCATTTTGACTTTTTCTATGGCCATTTTGACATTTTTGTGTGGCCATCTTGACTAGGGGTTTGTGGCCATTTTGACTTTTTTGTGGCCATTTTGACTTGGATGTTTTATGGAAATATTGATTATTTCATTTCATTTCTTCCAGACAAAATGGAGAGCAAAGTGCCAGAAACCAGTATACCCCTTTCAACACTAGGTAGATTCTATATTTACGCCATCCATGGCTATGCAATAGAGGTCATGTTCACAGCAATATGGGAATTTGTTGTCAACTTTAATTGGAAGTTCCCAGGTAACACAAGTGTCTGGTCTTTTCCAATCTACGGCTTGTCTACGATGATGATAGAGCTGCTGTATCTCCGCTTGAAGGACAGAGTACCCCTTGTAGGGAGGGCACTCATTTATACAATGTGGACGTACATTTGGGAATTTAGCACTGGATATATATTGAAAAAGTTTGATGCCTGCCCTTGGGATTACACACTGTTTCATGGAGATTTTATGGGACTGATTACACTGGAATATGCCCCTTTGTGGTTTGTGGGGTGCATTATCTCGGAGCAGGTTGTCATCAGATACACACGGCAGATATATTGGGGTCCTTTCCTCACTGGTAATCATAGACCCCCTTCGTCAAATGGAGATGTCAAGAAATCAAACTGAGGGCTGCTTAATCCACAGCGATTACCATTCTTATGATTCATGAAAAATATTTTTGTAATTATTATAATCATATGTCTCCATTTAGTCCTGATAACGTTTAGCTTTTTGAGAGGGACAGAAAATAGTCATTTAGTCTAGTTATTATTCCTGATCTAGTATGTGTGTAATAATATGTATTAACAACTAGGATAGCCTTCTTGCATCCTAATACCAGGTAGAAATTCTTCCCAAATGAGCTTCATTTCCGGTACCCCTGATGATTAGAGTGTGTGATCATGGTGATTCCCAGTTCCAGAGTGTGATATGGCTAGAATGGCGACTTATAATGCCAAAATTAGCAGCTACAGAATATGTGGTTGCTTTCTGTGTGATTGTACTTTGTAAAAGGACTTATTTACTGTGAGTCTGGTTGTGACCGTATAAACTATAGCTGCTAATTTTGGTGTTACGAGCATGTCTCCTAGACAGACATGACCATCATAAAGCCATAGGGATTTTCTAGATGTCTCTCCCTTCCAGGATGGCTCCATGTGATATGTTATCAGTGGCATCCACCCGTGTCTGCGTTGGATGTTGAAGATGTATAATGGCATAATGAACTCCTTTGTTGCCTGAGTATCATCAACAGGTGGATCGACGTCTGTACATCTTTGGAGTCATATCGAGGTTCAATTATTGTTTTATACATATTTTATTCTAAAAATGAAATGGATTGGGCACAAGTTATCCAACTTAGGAACCCTCTCCCAAATATTCAATTATTGCAAAGGGATGGATAATTTGGTGGTCATTTGTGTTTATTGGGCAAATTAGAAGACTCATGATTATGCACTTCTGTTTTATGTATTTCCTGTGTGTATCTTAAAGTCTCAAGCACTAATTCATTGTATCATATTTAATTACTGGTACAAATGTTTGCGGAATGGAAGGTGGTGTATTATTATATATATTTTTTTATACTAATGACATGACTTTACTGAATGTAGTGGTGATTAACCTGCATCCACTAATTGTTTGATATTTACTTTGTTCCATGATTGAAAAATGTGTTTTCGGTAGTCATGGTACCAGGCCCATGACAAACACTATTTTGAATTGAATTTTGGGGAGCTAATGCAGCACCATGTGCATAATGGATTAAAAACAAAATCTAAAATGAGGGCTTTAATACATTGCTGAAAATAGTACATATTTTTTGCCTTATATAGCACAAATTGTTAATTTTGATGTGACATATCGCACAAACTACTCTTTGTTGACTACATTCTATCATTTGTAATCCTGTCAAACCAGTTTTAGAAAATCTACACATTATGACACTGCCACAGAAGGAAACTCATAAGGTGATAACATGGTGTACAATGCATATACATTTCCATTAGTGTCATCAACAACTTTACATCAGTTGGACATGCAAGCCTTTGTCTAGAGGGGCGTTCGCTCGTCACACTGAAGACCCAGGTTCGATTCCCCACATGGGCAAAATGTATGAAGCCCATTTCTGGTGTCCCCTGCCGGGATAGTTGCTAAGAACGGAGTAAAATTAAACTCACTCACTCACTTTGTCTAGATTGTCTAGAGCTGGCTGTTTTGTGTCTGTTTTCCTTTTAAATCTGGATTTCCTTTTCTTGTGTTCATGTTGCAAAAGTCAAATGTTTCTCTGTGTGGAAAGGGCAACTAACATGTTAGGCAAAACTCACTCACTCTTGACCATCAGTGTGATCAGTCCATTGGTCATGTTGGATATTTTTTTAAGACGATGTCAGTTATTGCTCTGCAGTATTGATGCTCATGATATTATTGATTGCCAGATTGTTTGGTCCAAGCTAAATATACCGGGTATGTAGAATATTCTTAAGTGTTGTGTAACACAACAAACAAACTTGCTGGCCATGCTAGCACTGTCTAATTGTGCCAGTCAAACTTTATAATGCTTCAGGTAATTGCATGACAGGCAATATTACTTTTATTTAGAAGCCTTTCATCATGACACAATAAGGAAGAGTGATTAAACTTATTATGTTTATTGCCCAAAATAAACCTCAGTGTCACTCTGAACATCATCACTATGTGTAGATCACCATGGCCATCTTGATGTTGGCTTCAAACCCTATTCAACCACTCATGGTATATTCAACGTTATGTCACATATTCCACTGCCATCCATCCTATTTTAATGCATCAGACTGTAGATTCTCTAAGACTGGTTTTCGGTATGCATCAAATAAAGGCAGTTCTGTATGTCAGTTCAATTTTTCAGAATTTTCATACAGAAATAACTCTTCATATATTCTCTTTTTACGTTGTGCATATTTTGGTTATTTTACATAATATTTAACATGTTTGTTGTTTATTATTTATCATGTTAACAATTTTGTCTTACTGAAGGTACTAGTGTGTACGTTTTGTACTGTGTGTACTTGTAAAGGTGTGTAACCTGCTGTGTGTATTTGCATAAAAATATTGAAACCTGGTGTGAGGTGTGTCTTACCTGCACAGGTAAGCCTGACTGATGTCCATAAAGGCACCATGTGTCGTTTATCTGTACAGGTATTGTTGACTGATGTGCAGAATGGCAACAGGCGTGTTTATCCATACAGGTAGGGTGTACTGATGTGCTGAACGATATCAGGTGTGTGGTTTATCTGTACAAGTAGGTTTGCCTGATCTGCAGAATGGTAATGTATCAGATGTGTGGTTTACCTGTACAGGTATTGTTAACTGATGAGCAGAATGGTAATGTATCAGATGTGTGGTTTACCTGTACAGGTAGGGTTGACTGATCTGCAGAATGGTATCAGGTGTGTGGTTTATCTGTACAGGTAGGGTTGACTGATCTGCAGAATGGTAATGTATCAGATGTGTGGTTTACCTGTACAGGTAGGGTTGACTGATGTGCAGAATGGTATCAGATGTGTGGTTTACCTGTACAGGTAGGGTTGACTGATGTGCAGAATGGTATCAGGTGTGTGGTTTACCTGTACAGGTGGGGTTGACTGATCTGCAGAATGGTAATGTATCAGATGTGTGGTTTACCTGTACAGGTAGGGTTGACTGATGTGCAGAATGGTATCAGGTGTGTGGTTTACCTGTACAGGTGGGGTTGACTGATCTGCAGAATGGTAATGTATCAGATGTGTGGTTTACCTGTACAGGTATTGTTGACTGATGTGCAGAATGGTATCAGGTGTGTGGTTTACCTATACAGGTAGGGTTGACTGATGTGCAGAATGGTATCAGGTGTGTGGTTTACCTGTACAGGTGGGGTTGACTGATCTGCAGAATGATATCAGATGTGTGGTTTACCTGTACAGGTAGGGTTGACTGATGTGCAGAATGGTAATGTATCAGATGTGTGGTTTACCTGTACAGGTAGGGTTGACTGATCTGCAGAATGGTAATGTATCAGATGTGTGGTTTATCTGTACAGGTAGGGTTGACTGATCTGCAGAATGATATCAGGTGTGTGGTTTACCTGTACAGGTAGGGTTGACTGATGTGCAGAATGGTAATGTATCAGATGTGTGGTTTACCTGTACAGGTAGGGTTGACTGATGTACAGAATGGTATCAGGTGTGTGGTTTATCTGTACAGGTAGGGTTGACTGATGTGCAGAATGGTAATGTATCAGATGTGTGGTTTACCTGTACAGGTGGGGTTGACTGATGTACAGAATGGTATCAGGTGTGTGGTTTATCTGTACAGGTAGGGTTGACTGATGTGCAGAATGGTAATGTATCAGATGTGTGGTTTACCTGTACAGGTGGGGTTGACTGATGTACAGAATGGTATCAGGTGTGTGGTTTATCTGTACAGGTAGGGTTGACTGATCTGCAGAATGGTAATGTATCAGATGTGTGGTTTACCTGTACAGGTGGGGTTGACTGATGTACAGAATGGTAATGTATCAGATGTGTGGTTTACCTGTACAGGTGGGGTTGACTGATGTACAGAATGGTATCAGATGTGTGGTTTACCTGTACAGGTGGGGTTGACTGATGTACAGAATGGTATCAGGTGTGTGGTTTACCTGTACAGGTAGGGTTGACTGATGTACAGAATGGTATCAGGTGTGTGGTTTACCTGTACAGGTAGGGTTGACTGATGTACAGAATGGCATCAGATGTGTGGTTTTACCTGTACAGGTGGGGTTGATGTACAGAATGGCATCAGGCGTGTGGTTTGTTTCTCTGTACAGGTAGGGTTGACTGATGTACAGAATGGTATCAGGTGTGTGGTTTACCTGTACAGGTGGGGTTGACTGATGTACAGAATGGTATCAGGTGTGTGGTTTACCTGTACAGGTGGGGTTGACTGATGTACAGAATGGTATCAGGTGTGTGGGTACAGGTAGGACTGACTGATGTGCAGAATGGTATCAGTGTGTGGTTTACCCGTACAGGTGGGGCTGACTGATGTACAGAATGGTATCAGGTGTGTGGTTTACCTGTACAGGTGGGGTTGACTGATGTACAGAATGGTATCAGATGTGTGGTTTACCTGTACAGGTGGGGTTGACTGATGTACAGAATGGTATCAGGTGTGTGGTTTACCTGTACAGGTGGGGTTGACTGATGTACAGAATGGTATCAGGTGTGTGGTTTACCTGTACAGGTGGGGTTGACTGATGTACAGAATGGTATCAGGTGTGTGGTTTACCTGTACAGGTGGGGTTGACTGATGTACAGAATGGTATCAGATGTGTGGTTTACCTGTACAGGTAGGGTTGACTGATGTACAGAATGGTATCAGGTGTGTGGTTTACCTGTACAGGTAGGGGTTGACTGATGCACAGAATGTATCAGATGTGTGGTTTACCTGTACAGGTAGGGTTGACTGATGTACAGGTATCAGGGTGTGGTTTACTGGTACAGAATTATCAGATGTGTGGTTTACCTGTACAGGTGGGGTTGACTGATGTACAGAATGGTATCAGGTGTGTGGTTTACCTGTACAGGTGGGGTTGACTGATGTACAGAATGGTATCAGGTGTGTGGTTTACCTGTACAGGTGAGGGGTTGACTGATGTACAGAATGGTATCAGGTGTGTGTGGTTTACCTGTACAGGTAGGGTTGACTGATGTACAGAATGGTATCAGGTGTGTGGTTTACCTGTACAGGTAGGGTTGACTGATGTACAGAATGGTATCAGATGTGTGGTTTACCTGTACAGGTAGGGTTGACTGATGTACAGAATGGTATCAGGTGTGTGGTTTACCTGTACAGGTAGGGTTGACTGATGTACAGAATGGTATCAGGTGTGTGGTTTACCTGTACAGGTAGGGTTGACTGATGTACAGAATGGTATCAGGTGTGTGGTTTACCTGTACAGGTAGGGTTGACTGATGTACAGAATGGTATCAGGTGTGTGGTTTACCTGTACAGGTGGGGTTGACTGATGTACAGAATGGTATCAGGTGTGTGGTTTACCTGTACAGGTAGGGTTGACTGATGTACAGAATGGTATCAGGTGTGTGGTTTACCTGTACAGGTAGGGTTGACTGATGTACAGAATGGTATCAGGTGTGTGGTTTACCTGTACAGGTGGGGTTGACTGATGTACAGAATGGTATCAGGTGTGTGGTTTACCTGTACAGGTGGGGTTGACTGATGTACAGAATGGTATCAGGACTGTTTTTACCTGTACAGGTAAGGTTGACTGATGTACAGAATGGTATCAGGTGTGTGGTTTACCTGTACAGGTAGGGTTGACTGATGTACAGAATGGTATCAGGTGTGTGGTTTACCTGTACAGGTAGGGTTGACTGATGTACAGAATGGTATCAGGTGTGTGGTTTACCTGTACAGGTAGGGTTGACTGATGTACAGAATGGTATCAGGTGTGTGGTTTACCTGTACAGGTGGGGTTGACTGATGTACAGAATGGTATCAGGTGTGTGGTTTACCTGTACAGGTAGGGTTGACTGATGTACAGAATGGTATCAGGTGTGTGGTTTACCTGTACAGGTAGGGTTGACTGATGTACAGAATGGTATCAGGTGTGTGGTTTACCTGTACAGGTAGGGTTGACTGATGTACAGAATGGTATCAGGTGTGTGGTTACTGAGATTAATAATTCTTGGCCACCCACCAACTATTGAAACAGCTGGACTTCGCAATGTCTTAAAGTGGCATTTTAGAAACTTTAGTATGAAAAAACCCAGAGTGGACTGATACTTTTCATCTTTATTCCTCAGTGAAACATTTTAGTGCAGGTGTTAGTACTTTTATCATTAAGCCAATGATTGGTACTAGCACCTGTAGCGAAATGTCACATCGAAAGAGTATAGAAGTTAAAATTCATGTCAACTGATTTATAAACATTGCCATTAATTAACTGCTAAGTGTATTTGTCCTGGCAGTGACTGTTTATTGAAAGTGTCATTTTGTGTTTCATGATCTCAGCTGCAAAATCAGTGGAAATAGTTTGCTTTTTGAAGCTTTTTTCCACTATGAACCACAACTGAGTCTAGTTGTATGGAAAGTATTATTGTTGCCTGTTAAGAATTCGTTATGCATTTTGATTCGTATGTACATGGTATAATGAGGTCAGGTCTGGTAGTATTGCTGGTACCTGGTGAATGAGGCATAAATGCAACTTCTTTTGATCCATGGGGATTTCCTTTAGATGTTTGATACCTGCACTGCTTAGCACTTTCCACAGAACTCACTTACTTGCACACTTTAATATAACAAATCAGTGTGTGGTAATTCTTATGATTTTATTTAAAGGGTTCATATAAATTACAATTGTATGTCTTTTTCAACATGTTAATGTTTTGGACTTAAAACATCATTAGAACATTAGAACATGACAGCAAGGTATTTTGGGGAAAAGTGGGAACAGGTTAATTCATCTTGTCACACAAATTTGTTCATCGATGTTCTGATAAGAGAGGACCTTCACCATACTTCATCTTATGTGCTAAACAGATTGACTTGATTGTATTGGAGGCTTGAGAGCATTAGTGCAAACATATTTTGTGATACTATATTTATGGCATAGGATTTTCATAGATTTTTTTATGGTAATACGTTTATACTATATGTGTCATGACATCTTTTATGATGATATGAACCATGATATGTCTATAATCTTGTTTTCAACAACATTCTTTGTGATGTCATTTTGCGATCATGATATTATGCATGTGATACTTATGTATCACTATATATCATAAGTAATATTATATTTATATTTAAGCACTCAATCATAATATGCTTCATGGCATTAAACTTGCAAATGTCACACATTTAACAACTACTTTTTCTAGTAGGTGTTTTAATTTTTAAATAGTAATAGTAATAGTCTGCTTATATGGTGCTCATATCCAGGCACATTGCCTGCTCACGGCGCTACGTACATTACTATCCCCGGTCATATGACATTATTTTTAAATGAAAAGATTGTGACAGTAGTAATAGAGGTGACAGGACATATCAGTCAGTCACATTACATCTGTCAGTAAAATCACATCTTCGTGTTCACTACTGCTGCAGACAAATCTGAGAACATCCCGTGACGCATGCCAGAGTGACATTTTGCTCAGCCAGTCAAAACATTGTTTATGAGAATGTGAAAGTGAAATACTCAATCCGTTTTCTAAAGGTGCACACTTGAAAATGTTAACAGAAACAGTTGAAACTAGTTAAGGCTGGATGACCGATTCCATCAAAATCATCATCTATCTCTCATGTTAATGGGATAAACTAGGGCATTAAAACATGAGAAAGATGCTCTCTGATTGGCTGATGTCAACTTCATCTTTTGAAGTGGTATGTTCTTAGATCTGCGTGCAACACTAAGCAGTAAGATCAGATTTTAATAAGACTGACGATAAACCTATCTCATGCGTTGATACATAACATGATGTTTGTTGACAATTGCATTGTTTACCTGTGCCTTATGTAGCCCAGGGGCTATGGGGTGGCCTAGTGGTTAAGGCATTTGCTGAAGACAAAGGTTCGATTCCCCACATGTGTGAACCCATTTCTGGTGTCCCCTGCCTTGATATTGCTGGAATATTGCTAAAGGCAGCGTAAAACCAAACTAACTCATGTAGCCCACTAACAACAGGAGGTTGCTATCAACTGTTTTGTGTTCAACTAGAGTTAATGCTCACACTTTTATACAGTATTATGTGATTTCATTTAGCATTTTGTAAGCAATAGACAGTAAGGTAAAGCTGGCGAGATATTTCAAAACTACGTAAATATTACTATTTTAAAACTCAAAATAGCCTTAAAACATGATGGACACATTGGAAGACCTGCCATGTATTGTCAGGTATTACACACAATGATCATTCTGATAACCAGGATCATGACATCTGAATGTACTGATACAGTTACATGTGTAAGTCATCATTTATGTACAGGGCCATTGGTGTAGCCAAGTGGTTAAAACGTTCACTCGTCATACCAAAGACCCGGGTTCGATTCCCCACATGGGTACAATGTGGGAAGCCCATTTCTGGTGTCCCCCGCAGTGATATTGCTAAAAGTGACGTAAAACTAAACTCACTCACTCATTTATGTATATTTGTATCTGATGTGCCAAATACTCGTCATGCTCATAATATGACATGATTGTTACCCAACCAGATAATATGACTTGACATAATTAATATCACAGTAATTCAGATGTCAATCCGTAGTCATTTGCACCTGTTTAACAGGTAGATTTCTATTAAAGCATTAATAAGACCTTTGTTAGTAGCAGATAGTGGTAGATTTCGAAGTCTGTAGATGAATGATGTCCAGATGGTCTGTTGCAATTGGTAACTTTCACCTAAAGCTCTTCCTGTACAATGAAAACCTACCATAGACAGTTGTCAAAATATATACAATACATGTGAACTGCGTTTTATGACAATGGCTTCTAAAATTCGCCATGATCAAAACAATCTGTTACAATTTTGTTTACATATATCTTAAAGGGGAAGTGTACAGGAATAAATCACATTTATTCTTATGTGAATCAAAGTGAATTTTTTTAATTAGTTAATATCAATGTTTGAAAATGTACACTCATTTTTCTTACAATGAAAGTATAACTCTCAAAATAAGTGCTGAAATGTTAAGCATTATGAGGCCTTTGTTTGCAGAGCTAAACAGGCCAGAGTTACTGCCCTTTGATTATGACGTAATTGGTGCCACTTGATTTTAGACTGGTCTCCTGTCTAGTCCCAAATCAAAAGATAATAATACTGTAATTAATCACGTGAAAACGTTTGTGAAAATACGAAAGAAGCATAAGAACAGAAAATGTAAGCAGCAGGACGGATTGATCGTGTGTATTTTCATTCATAACCTCACCTCAATGAAAATACCAAATATGTATAACAATGTTGACGTCCCTATGACATCACTACCGGGAAGTGACTTTTTCAAAATGGCGTGTTCATTGAGACAAGTATGCCAGATTTTTCGGAGGAAACTTTTGTTGTTTCAAGCAACGTGTATGCATAAATGTGACATGTAAGTAGTCCGAAACATTCTGACAGTCTGCTGGTTGTTATTTTATTTTTATTTTCTTTGTGCCCAAGCGAAATAGTCTGAAATTAGGAGAAGTACCATCGTCCGTGTGCGAGAGTTTGCGTAAGTCATGGCGTCACGCTTTCAGAAACTGTAATATGTTGTGATGAATTTGGGAAATCATGGGAATACACCTACTTTATTTAACTATCGCTTGCTACGATACCTTTCCCATGCATGTTCTAAAACTAATGAGCAAGTGTTTGCAACAAATAGGCGAACGGATACACAGTGTAAAATCTGAGATTGGCTTTGTTTACATTTCAAACTAGTGGTCCTTTCCCAGCGCGTCATCTGATATATTTCGTTAGATTTCACTGAAACACTTTGTATTCGTGACAGAGTCCATTTGTCAGTTTATTTTGAACTGTATGAGGAATTCAGGGATTCATGTAAGGATGATGGTGTTGAATTATACAATTGATTTTATGGTCGAAACATAACCGACATACGTGTGACATGATTTTATAAACAGTCGGCAATATGGCTGAAAATTCACTTTGACATTAATTGTGTTTGCTTATTTTCCAAAACATTCTCAGCGATTCTTGGTTCATCAACAATATTTCAGAACGAGCATTGGTGATTCGATCAAACAACAACAAC